AAAAAAAAAAAAAAAAAAGAGAAATTCACTGTTACACAGGAAACAGCATTTGACACCCTACCTGTGTTCATTTTCACCAACATCCACTACAACTGGGATAAACACATGTCCCACCTGTGCTACTCCACATCTGTAATTGTAAATATCTCAAAATTGGCCCCACTGTGTCCATGTCTGTGCCCGTTGGTGGTGGTGTGGCAGTCTGTGCGGGATGTTGACTGCCTAAGGGGTTGTGAGTACGTGTGGGGCATCCTCCTCCTTCTGTATTTTTCTCACCTCTGCTCTTGCCCTTTTCTACATACTGTCCAGTACTGTGGGCATCTGTTTTCCAGTTATTGGCTGCCTGTAGGTTTGGTTGTCATAGTAACTTCCACTGATGCAACTGGACAGGCTTGAGTGCAGGCAGGATTCAGGATAAAGGTTGGAAGATGCCAGGCTTGGACTTCTGATACTCTCTTGTTAAAAGGAGCTCTTCCTTGGCCAGCTCAAATGGGCATCCACGAAGGCCCTAGGCCTCTGCTTGTTACTGAAGGATTAGCCAGAGGAACATAGACAAATCCCTGCTTTGGGTACTCTTTTTTTTGAAGTTGTGTGTGCACGCGCGCGCGGGTTACTAGGGATTGACCCCAAGGCCTTTGCACTGTGCTGTCTCATTATGCAGTTCAGGCTGGCCTTGAACTCACTTTGTAGCCTAGGCTGGTCTTGAACTTGCAACAATCCTCCTGCCTCAGCCACGAGTTCTGGGATTACAGATGTGTGCCACCATGCCTGGCTGGGATCCTAGTTCTGAGACTGTGAGGTAGGGAGAGCAGTTTCCTTAGCACCCTTTGCTGTGTTGAAAGTTATCAGTCCGTCAGTAAACTTTCTCCAGGAGTGCTCAGTCAAGGCCCAGCAGACAGTAAGTGGTACACTACTCCTCCCCTCACAAAGCCCATGGCCCAGCGCTCCTCTACCAGGGCCACTGTGTCTCATCATAAGTCTACCTGGTATAGGGCCTGGGCTGGCCTGCCCCCGCAGAGTATGAGGTGCTCCTGCTTCTAGCAGTTCAGTTCCCAGCAGCTCTGAGGTCTGGTCTTGGGGGTGTGCCAAGCGCCTACGGGAAGTGCTAGTGAGGATTTTAATTAATGCTGTGTAATTACTAGATGGTGCTTAACCATCTTAAATGCCCTCCAGGTTTCTAAGCACACACCTAATCATTTCCTGGCTGGGCCTGGCAGGGAGGATTCTTGTGTCCATTGGGTCTTCGGTCAGCACCTAGGCTGTGGTATGGACATTCCGGGAAGGTCTCTCCCTTCTATTCCCTTCCAATCTTGGGGGAGCAAGTTGCGTAGCGGCCCGGGCCGTTTACCTGTGCCCTCCCCTCCCAGGAGGCAAAGGATACACAGTGTCTGGTGGACCGCTGCACTTCACCCAACCGTGCTGGCCCAGGGCCCGGGCGGAGTGTGGGGAGGGCAGGGGTGTACAGTATCGACTGGCAACTCCGGTGAGCGTGCTCCAAAGGGGATCGGGCACAAAGGTCCTTCCTGCTCTGGGCCTCGCGACTTCTCACTCTGTCAGGTTGCTGAGCCGGCTCTTTCAAGGGGATTGCTCTGCCTGTGGCTCTCAGAGCACCCTCTCACTGGACGTCAACTTCCCCTGCCTTCTTCCCGCTTTGTCGTCGCGCAGACCTCAGGCAGAGTGCTGAGAGGCCTATGGATCTCTCCACCGGTCGGCCCGGACGGGGCTGACCTCACCAGACCTTTGCTCTTACTGCGCTGCGTTCGGACGGCCTCCCGTGGACTGTCCCGTGGACTGTCCCGTGGGTCAGCGTGCCGTCGTCCCGGCCTCCACCGCAGCCGCGCCCTCGGTGAGCCGGCGGCATGGCCTCTGCGCCCGTGTCCCTACCGCCCGTTAGGGGAGTTTAGCCCGTGCCGTGCGCGCGAAGGAACGGCTCTCACCGCCAGCTTGCCTCCCTTGACCTAAGGCTACCGCGGCGCGTTCCACCTCCAGCGAGCGCCCAGACCCGCGGGCGGCCAGCGCGCACGCGCACCG